AAGACCAGTCCCTTGATGGAGCATCCCAACTTCTAGCAACTGATTAAGATGTGAGGCAGTTTCATGCTAAGTAATAGATTTGGGAGTGAAAATCTTACAAGATCATATCTAGGGAAGAGCTATAGACGAATAGTACTCCAGGATCTGTTTATTTTTAAGTGCATGTCAGTTATGCTATGATGATATCTACACTGAATTTAAGATCTCAATCTTTTCCTATGTAAATATAATCTGGATATCATAAATGTAAGAACAATAAGGTCTAGTGCCCTTAGTGCTTTTGGTAAGACATTTTTGAATGTTTTAAAAGTAATCTGAATTTTTTTTTCTTTTAGGAAATGTGTGCTTAAAGATATGTAGGTGATATTGCTTTGACTGAAGTTACAGAGCAGATAAAGACCTGTAAAAACAAATGTGTGTCTATGAGAGCCTGTTTGTACCGTCGTATAGTTCGGAGGAGCTACTCGCTTTCATAATTGTTAGCAGGCCCTGGGGCTCTTTGTGCCCTTATGCACTAATACTGCTGGATTAATGTGGCTGCCTCGCTTGTGTATTTTAATCGTTGCTTAAATATAGATGGGGCGAGCGGCGGGAGGGAGGCAGGCAACGCTGCTGCCTGCACGGGGAGAGGGGCCTGGCTGAGCTGAGCAGGAGAAGGCACGCGAGGGCCACCGGCTCCAAGGAGCAGCCCCATTGATGGACCCGCCATCCTCAGGGAAACTGCTCCGCAAAGCGTCCAGCGTCCGCGCCTTTGAGAGCCTGGGTCCACAGGGGTTGGGAAGAAACCTGAGAGCTGGCAAGACATGGCACGGGCACGTGCTGCGCGTGAAGACACTGCGACCGTGTGTGACCAGGGTCAGGGGCTGCGGAGCCGCAGCGCTGCGGTGGGCAGTGCTCCTCATACAGCGCCAGCGCCAGCCACTGGATGGGCCCAAGCGTGAATTCGCTTGATGCTGGGCATTTTCGAGGCATCCAGCTGAGGTCGGGAGAGGCTCCCCAGGGAGCTCCAGCAGAGCAGGCGGCGGGTTTGCCCGTTGCTGATGGCGGCCGGGGCGGTGGCCGTGTGTTGTGCAGCGCGTGGCGGGCCCAGCTAGGCACCGCGCTGCGGGGCCGCGCGAGGCGGCCTTGTAACACTACCCTGTGCGCAAAGAGCTAACCGTGGCAGGGTTATTTCTGGTTATGATTTAGATGAGGTCAGTAATTCAGCGTCATCTGTTCTGTGCTTAGCTCTCAGAACAGCCATAATCTTGTCTCCTTTTGTTGTTCTTAGTGCACTGCCTTAACCTCTTGTCAGAGGGGAAGAAAGAGCTGTTGAAAGATTAGAGGTGGTATCTGGAAGGACATAATTCTTGAAGATGATGTCAATCAGGGCATAAATTTGAAATACTTTTTAATATGGTAATCTTTAGCAATAAAACTTCTACTCAGAGGTGGTTGGTTTAATGGCAGCCACGTTAGCTGCTTCCTGGCTTTGGTCACTGTGCAAAACTTGGCGAGAGGAGGGCATTTTTCACTGGATGCAAATTCAGCGTGTTTAAGCAGCACCGTAAATGGATGGGATTCCCTTTGAACCCGTGCTTGGCTGGAAAAGCCGTGATTACAACTCAAAGTTGCTATACAAGGAATGAGATGATGTTAGTTCACCCATTGTTTAAACATGCCTGTTCCTGGCACATAACATCCCGGCAGTTATTTCACATCAGCCACCCCACAGAGCAGCACAGGAGAATGCCGTTGTCCCTTACGGCTGGTATGGGTTCAGCTTTGTGCTTAAACGGGCCTGCAGCATAGCGCAAGGACAGTCACGCTGCTCCTGCCTGCTGCACCTGCTCTGTGTATCTGCACAGAGTTTGGGCTCCACTAGTTTTTAAACTGGCACCCTCCCAGCCTCTTGGCTATTTATTTCTTAGAATAAAATACAGCAATATTCCACGTAGCTCTTGGTAGCTCTAGGGAAATTGCCTATGTGGATTGATTAAAGAAGATAGATACTGCTGTGCTGATGAAGTTTTCCATAACAGTAAGTAATGGAAAACTTATGCTAATTAAAAGTACTTGGACAGTTATTTGTGATACACAGCCACTCAGGCTGGCTGGCTGTTATGCCAGGATATTAAAAAAAAAATCCACAGCTTTCTCTGATCAAAAAGTGAAAATAAAATTTGCTGATCTTATTCATTGCCATCTCCCCAGCCTGCCAATACATGATACTAGAGAAACAAAAGAGAAATTCAAAAGAACAGGAGAGGATGGACTTGATCGTTCAAGGACTTGAATGATCAGGAGAACAACTCTGTTGAAGTCTCCCCTGAAAAGGCTCTGGGTGCTGGTAGGCGGGGATGTCCATCTCCCTTTTCCTGCTTTGGTGGGCAGCCCCCTGGAGCTGGCCCATTCCCTCTCCTTGCTGCAGCTCAGGCAGTACAGACTCACAGGGCAACCTGTGTCTCGGGCCCCAGCCTCACAGTCCCTGACGTGCCACCTTACCCAGCTTGGAGATTTCAGCCACTGGCAGCATTCAGAGATCATGCCCCAATTTTTTGTGTACGCACAAGTTGGAAGGGAACCAGTCCTGTCCCCTACAAATCCGCAGCATTAGAAAGCCAACATCATGTCTGATATTGCATCTGTCCTCCCTGGTTGATCAATTGTTTTTTTATCTCTATTCATACATTCCAGTTTCTAAGATCTTTCTCTTTCCTGTTGCTATGGTAAAAACCTGCCTAAAAAGGAAGAATTATAGCAGCAAGATCCACTGACCTACAAAATATTCAGAATGTAGTTGTCTGCAGAGTTTTACTTTTAAAATCACTGGTGGAATATCTGTAATGGGAATGGGAGAGGACCAAAGCAGAGGGAGATTGTACCTGCATTTTTATTTATTCAAAATTCCTGCTTTCGTGCCGAATAGCTGCTTCTAATCAGTGAATCTGCACAACTGGTTTCCTTAAGCAGGGCTTTTCCGTGATTACAAGTGTTACAAGGAGTGAGCATCCAAGAACCCATTCTTGGGTTTCTCTTTCTGCTAATAACCTTCCAGCTCCAATGTGATTTTCTCTTCTGTGTACATGAATGTCACGGATACAGCGCTGTGTTACAGTGGCTCATCCTTGCTGGAGGCAGGGTTCTTTTCCAAGGAGCTGATCTGAAATGAAATGAAAACCAAACCGTGAATTTTTTGGTTCACCTCCCAGACTATAAAAAGAGGATGGTCTCATTAATGATTAACGCAGCAGCTGGTAGCTCAGAGGAGATCTGGAAGAAAACACTGCAGTGTCTCCCTCCTCCTGTAAAATATATTGCCTTAACAGTTTTCAGTGCTCACCCGAGCTTATTTGTTTAGATGTTTGAATCCCAGCAGACTAAGCCTCAGCCTTCATCGCTCCTTCAAGGTGAATAAGGGTGCCTTATTTTCTAGCTGTAGTCTAATGTTTTTGCAATGCTATTACCACTCATTGGTTTGCAGTTCCCCATAATGTGTGTTAGTGGTGGTTTTTAGAACACTTTATTGTTTCAGTCCAGAGAGGCAGCTGAGATTTCCAATCTGCTTACCATCAGCATGGTTACATCATTAAATATCAAGCAAAACTCTACAACATTTTTGCCTTTACATTGGCATCACCTCTGCTTTATTGGCTTGCTCTCCAAAAGTCCTAGTTATATTGTAACACAGTTTTAAAAATATTTATATATATTCTGATTGTAAACCGCTTATGCTACCATAGCACAGTGCTTGTTGCAGTGTGCATGGGCAGCTAGTAATGCTCTAATGAACCAGTCTCTTAAAAGAACTAGAGGGATCATTTTTAGTGCAAGAGTTCCCACAATGCGAGGTTCTACTTAGCACTGAAGAATCAAAAGTGATAAAAAAATCCCCCCCACATAGTAGTTGCCTTAAAAGAACTAGGGAAATCATTTTTAGTCGAAGGGTTCCCACAATGTGAGGTTCTACTTAACACTGAAGAATCAAAAGTGATTAAAAAAATCCCCCCCACATAGTAGTTGCACATATGGCAAACAGTATGCAATACAGTGGTAAGCAATCTGGAGGCTTTTCTGTGTGTGATCATTGCGAGCGTATATTCTCTTCTAAATTGACTGTGTTTTATCTTTATAGACATATCATAGTCTCTGGAATCTTGTGCAAATATTTTGGTACCTCTGTATACACATGTGCCTTTTCCTCTAAATTCACTGTAAAATATTAGTGCAGAGAGGTATAATGTACCAGTTTGCCCTCTGGTAGAGCTGGGGCAGAAGTGGAGTTTACTCTGTGCGCCGCGATGGTGGGTGATGCCCGCAGAGGTTATTGCAGAGTTAGTTAGATGCTGTATGTGCTGACACCGACAAGCGTGAGGCACGTGGCAGCGCGACGGCCACAGGCACCCTGGCCCCAGGAGCGCTCCCTTGGCCTGCCCTTCTCCAGCAGAGAGGAAGGAGCTGCTGCCCTAACAGCTCAAGTGCAAGGAGGCATCTCCGAGCCAGATGTTGTCCCAGTGCCATAGGCGAGGAGGAGGATGGGAGAGGAAAGGGGAGGCAGGACCTCTGCTCACGGGAGCCTCGCAGAGTCTTACGCTCTTCACGTGGCGCTTTGAGACACGGTGAGCGGGGAACGATGCCCTGGCCTGGCATGGGAACAGGTCATGGCTGCTGAGCCCTGGAACAGGCTGCCCAGAGACGTTGTGGAATCTCCTTCTCTGGAGATCTTCCAAACCCGCCTGGATGCCACCCTGTGCCATGTGCTCTAGGTGTCTCTGCTGGAGCAGGGGGATTGGACCAGATGATCTCTAGAGGTCCCTGCCAACCTCAACCCTTCTGGGTTCCATGTACTGCAGACCCATGAGCTACTGCCCTTGCTGCCTCCCGCCACTGGACCCAAGATTGGATCCAGCTCGTGCTGTCGCAGAGGCTGAAGTGCTCTGAAGCATTTGTAGTTGTGCCTGATTACACTCAGTCCTCACTTGCTTTTACTGACTTGAGTTGCATGTGTCTTTTTTAGAGATCCGAGCTCAACTCATCGAGCAGCAAAAATGCCTGGAGCAGCAGACTGAAATGAGAGTGCAACTTCTTCAAGATCTACAGGATTTCTTCCGCAAGAAGTCGGAAATAGAGATGGAGTATTCCCGGAACCTGGAAAAACTGGCAGAGAGATTCATGGCCAAAACAAGAAGTACAAAGGACCACCAGCAGTACAAGTAAGAGGCATTGCCCTCCCGTGCACCCACGATAGCCAGTGCTGTGCTGTGCTCTGCTACTGGCGCATCACTGCTTCTGTATTATCCTTTACCCACCAAGCAGAGTATAAACCACCCCAAAGCACAGCCAGCCTGTAGGGGACATGCAAGGGCCCAGGTGGGCTGCAAGGCTGTATGTGGTCGGCTGCAGTAGGGCTGACAAAATTTGATTGGGCCTAAACGAAGGCCACTCACCCTTGCAAAAAAACACCAGGATTATTGGCAAAAAAAAAAAAGGTGTTGAGGTGGAATTCAGATTAGTTGTCGCATGTGATTGTGTGCTGCTGCTTGATCCCTCTTGTTTCTACAAGTAGAGATGTAGATACTATGTTTGCTAAGAATTGGATGTATCCCTTTCATGGTGTAGGAACTTCTGTGCAAAACAGATGCAGTTGGGTAGTATCTGTCAGAAAGGGTAAACAGCACATTTTTTAAAAATGCTTCAAATGCATTACTTGCTGACATAGTGCTCATTACTTTTCTGACTTGAACTGATTAATTAACATATTTGCCCAGCGCTGTTATATTTAGGTGTATAAAACAATACTATCTGTGTATAAAACTGAAAAATAAGTGCTTTTTCCATTGCGCGTTTAGTGTTCTACTCTAAATTCACTTCTAATTCTACTCTAATTCTAAATGTTCAACTCTCAGTTGTCGAGATGTATGTATTTTTATTTTGCTGTGTGTAAAAGACATAAATAAGTTATAAGAAGTTGTAAGAAGACATAAGATGTCTGTGAATATGGCTTTGCACTTGGAATGGGCCTACAACCCACAAAGTCTGCAAAGAAAATGCAGGACTGGACCACTGTGGAAAAAGTCCCATCCTCCTCTTTGTCCTGTAATTAAAACGTTGGTGCCTTGCAGCACCTAGCATAGAATTTATGAATGCTGATCACAAAATACGTATGCTTGTGACATTTCCTTGTAATTTTATAGCAGTTATGTATAAAAAAAAAACTACAGTGAAACAGCTTTTTGATGGACAAGCACACTTACAATTTTGTTCATGAAGAATTTGAAATGTGTCTGTGGCCCTTATTTATTTCTAATTTCAAAAAAAGAATTAATGTTACTCTCTCAGCAGTGGCCTTTTTAGCTTTTGAATATTTATATATAGTCCATCCGTGAGCTTTGTGGCAGGGCCTTTTCTAAAACTGTCAGCCTAGTTGTAGTGTTCTGAATTCTTGTCCTTTTTCTCCTCTTTTATACCTGCGCCTCATGGGATTTGTAAAATGTGTCTTAAAGCATGAATAGGTGGGCTGTTGAGAAACAGAAGTCCAAATCTAGCATACTCTGTTAACAAGAGTGAGAATATTGATTATGCTGTGACTGCTGGCATGAGCAAAGGCAGGAAGACTTGACTTCTAGTGTGTGTGTGTGTGCGTGTGTGTACTGGCAGGCTGTTCATTGGATTTTTGCTGTTGGTTCTGACAGATTTGTCTCAGCCTTTTTTCTTTAATATATAAAACTGAGTAGTTTTATATATTATAGTGTAAGCTTTGGGCTCCTACCAAGCTCATTACATAATGAGTTATCTGTAAATGTCAGAGGCTGTTTGTGTTCATTATGTAACTTCTCCATTTCTGCGTGTGATACATATTTGTATCTCCTCCTCAGGAGAGATCAGAATCTCTTATCGCCGGTGAATTGCTGGTACTTACTCCTGAACCAAGTAAGAAGGGAAAGCAAAGACCACGCGACGCTGAGTGATATCTACCTGAACAACGTGATCATGCGCTTCATGCAGATCAGCGAGGACTCCACCAGGATGTTCAAGAAGGTAATGCCTGCCCTCAGACCTCCAGTGGGGCTGGTAATGGGCCTGGGGGAGACCAAACTGTCTTAACTGGTTGCATTTGAAAGGAAGATTCAGAACACGTAGCATAAAAGCTGTTTTAGTACACTTATAAATCCTTCATGACCATTCTCATGGAGCAAACCTTTAGTGCTGAAATGCTTGTGAACCTGCTGAATATGCTGCTGACCTGAACAGTTGAATGGGAAATTTCCAAGAGGCAAGGAAAAAGTCCTGTTATCTCAAAAGGATGTTTGTCTACCCATGCAGAAAAGAAAAAGTTTTAACCTAGGTCTCCCCAAAATAGTAATGTTCTATTAATAATTTATTAAAACAGTAGAAACAGTATTTGGTTATAACTCTGTCACGAGGAAACTCTGATTCAGGCCAAAGTAAAGGTATTCCTTGTAATGAGTTGGTGTGAAGATAGTAGCCATCTACTGTGGTTTTCCTAAAACCATTTTCCTTCTTTCACCATACTGCATATGAATGTGTATTTTTGATAACATAGCTACTGCTATTAGGTCATTTAAACCTTGTCTCTGCACATGATTGTCCTTGTGCATGTCTTTTATGTGTCACATAGCATGGCTGTGTGCCCCGTTGGTTAAGCAGGAGTTCTGAGGGAGCCTTAGTTTGCTATCTACGTAATGTATTTACAGCTGTTGTTGTTACAGTGTTCTGAAATAAAAATAGAATATACATGGGGGACCATCAGTCACAGTGAACTGCTCATGGGTAAACATCATATTTATTACGGAAATGAATCCCAAATGTATAAAGGTTAAAGCATATACAGTCTCTGACTAAATGGTGCAAGGGTACCTGGTCAATGCTTTTCAAATAAGGAGCTGATTTCACATCCACCTGACCACAGTCCTAGACAAATACCAATGGGGTAGGGACAAGAATCATCTAGGGAGTGCAGAGGCCCTACTTGGAAGAAAAGAAGTAAAAACATTGATCAAATCTGTTGCTGTGCATGAAAACCTTTAATAGCAATAGAATTTAAATTCATAGTTTCTCAATCTGTAATAATTTGTTCACATTATATATATCCAATGCATAAAGCTGTAGTTCAAAAACAGCTAAACTTACTAATAAGGAAGATTATCGTAGAGGTTGAAAAGATAATGGGAAAGGCTGTTTGAACATGTCCCAGTACAGTCTATGATGTGCTGAGTTCCCAGGCTTGGCTGGGCCAGTAGGGATCTCGCATTATTGAAGCTGACTAGTTTTTCAGCTGGTGAGGGCCTAGCTATCTCAGAAGTCTCTTCTTTTCTGCATATACATTATTGGACTAGCCTATCCCCTTGCAGCACAGTTCAGACTGTTTATATTGGAAGTCTTGCTTTGCTTGCGCTGTTGCTGAACACACTGGATAAAAATATCTGGATAAACTTTTCCATGGACAAGTATGTCCCCTTCTTTATCCACTCATAATTAATTAATGGGGATTACTGCAGTTTCCATTTCAGAAGGGGAAAAAATGTGGATTATTTTGTCAACACTTTAATAGGGACCACGGTTTCACAGCCTTCTGACAAAGTTGTTTCTTTCTCTTATACGATGTCCAGCAACATGTAGCATTTCAAATGTTCTCCTTCTGGCAAAGCTTCATGAAGAACTTCGTGGTTTTTTTTTTTTTTTTTTTTCCTCATTCCTAACTTGGATCTTCCACAGAGGAAAGAAGAAAAGGGAAATAGAGGGAGTACTGCTGTGCCTAACCTGAAGCTCACATTAGTGGAGCCCAGATCCCAGACTTTCCATTAGTTTCCATTTCCATTTGTTAGCTTGTGCTCAGAGTGACACTGTCAGATCAAGCAGCTGTTAATTAGCTTGGAGCAAAGGCAGAGCTAAGCTTGTAGACAGGGATCTATCTGAGCAAGGCCAAATAATAAGAGGGGAAGGGTGGCTGGAAGATGCATGACCCCTTGAAGTAGAGTGAAGGAGCTTTCCAAGCACACAGCATGGATGTGGCAGTGGTCCTTTACCTATATTAATTGTGAGCACTTATTTTTATGCCTTTAATGTGACACAAATTAATGTTCACTGGAGAATGTTCCTCTTCCCATTGAGCTCCAGCCAACACAATCTTTGCTGTAGTGCTTGCTATAGAGTCCTGGTGGGGTGATCTGCTGCTGCCAGCTCCCAGGTGCAGAATGGATCATGCCCTGATGATGATGAACCTCGAGTTCTTCCTCTGGGTAAAAAGGAAGCGGGGTATGGAGTGAGATGAACTAGCTGGACAGGGAGAAAAGCGAGACCTATGCGGGCAGCGAAGCTGTTAGCAAGCTGTCTTGCTTTATTAATGAAGAACATAAGCCCCCTGCATCTCTGTTCAGTCCAAACGGGCAGCTTCAGCCATAATTTCTGTCAGATGTGATGAGCAAGATGCAAAAGTGCATTATGGGCCATCTCCGAACTGCTTAATGGGCATACACCAGGGAACGGAAAGCGATTAGGTGCACAAGTGCATGTGTTATATACTGCAGAGTTATATTGTCTGCAGAGAAGGCACACTTGCAGTGGAGAAGGTAACATCCATATTCTCCTCCAGCAAATTTGTATTCCCACTGAAGAAAATTACATAGAATTTGTTAGAGAACTGTAAATATCCAGGAGTTTCAATCACTTTCCCTAGGTTAGGTTTTTAGAAGATTGGATTTGGAATAAAATTCTGTAAGAGAAAAAGTAATCAGTCTCAGTGGGTGTCATCACTATGAAAGTACGTGGGATTTATTCACTGTTCAGAGGTTTGAGATTAAAGAAAATAAATTATATCCAATGATATTTCTACACCAAAGTATTGTTCTTTGCAGCCATTCTGGTTGTACTGCTCTGCAGAATATGTACTCTCTTTTTTAAATGATAACTATCAATAACAGGAACAGTAGTAATACCTAGATTTCAAAAGTAAACACTGACAAGTGCAGCCATAATGATGCAGCCATAATGATGTCTGTGGTCAAGACTATGACATCCATCCGTCCATGCATCCATCCATCCATACCTACATCCATCCATCCATCCATACCTACATACATCTGCACTCCCTCTAGCACTCACAGCATTTCACTTAGGAGCTCTTGGTATTTTTCTAAGTAATTTCCAAACAAGCTTTTCTATATTCAATAACTAGATTATTAAATACATGTCTATCAGTTTTTTAACCTAACAGTTTTAAGCATCACTATTAACCCCTTGTTATAGTCCTGCCTGCATCTTGCAGCAGCTGCTTTGCATTTTCAGCAATGCTTCACATCCCTTTCAAGCCTGAGGACGACTGTGGGACGGCCTTGCTGGCTGCGTGGGTCGGGTCCTGCTGTGAACTCCCTGAAGAAAGGGAGAGCGTTGGGGGGCAGGTTGCCCCACAGTCCCTAGGCAGATGCAGGCAGCAGGAAAGTCGCTCTGAGCTTCTTTGGTTCTTTCCGCACCCTCTTTTTTATTCTCTCCCTTCCTGTGAGATCCCCAGATCTGGGTGTCGAGGCCGACATTCTCCAGAGGACAAGTCTTTCTGTGCCACCCCAAGCCCAGCTCCGGTTGAAGCGTGGCAAGGAAGGGATCAGCTTCCTCGTTTGCTGGCTGTGCTCAGCAGCAGAGGGTGGCTTTGCTCCCTCTGCTGCGCACAGCTCTGCTGCGTGGCAAAGCTCAGAGCCAGGATCCTCTCTCCGGCCCTTCTGAAAAGACGTGTGTGGTTCCCAGCGAGGGGCTGAGGGGAGCCTCGCACGGCTGTGAGGGACCGCGGGCTCTGCACCTTGCGCTTCCTCACCGGGCGCTCGTCCTGACCCGTGAAATACCCTCTCATTCTGATTCCTCCTCTCAGATGTGTGTGTATGTGTGTGTGTTTATACATCTGTCTTAATATTTGGATTAATTTTGTTTTGTTGAAATGGCCCTTCTGCATTCTAATTTAAATTTTCTGATGGATCAAGAGATATTGTATTCATGAACCTGATTGTATAGGGTTTGCCTCTCTAGGCCAGTCCACTTACCATTTGGATATTCCTCATTTTTGTAGACCCAGGAGCTCGGATATTCTTTTTCCAGGGGTTAGGAACCTGCTACTGTTTAAATATACTAAATGCAGGACAAAAATAGGATCTAGTTCAAAGATTTTGTGGCATTTGCCTGATATGCCATGTCAGGCCTCAGACTTGCAGACTGGCACTAGCGCGTCTCTTCAGTTGCTGGCATATAAAAGCAGTACAGATTGCTGATCATGCGTGGCCTTCATGCTGCACAGAAAATTGCAAACATAAAGTAGCAGAGTTCAAACCTTGCATCCTTGCCTGTTTCTTCAGGCAGATGGGGTAGATGGCCTCATGGGGACAATTAAAGAATAAAGCAATAAGGAAAAATGTCAAGCAGAAGGGAAAAGTAGCATGCAGAACATTTCATGCAGTGATTCTGGCTACCCCAGCATTAATAATCAACTACATAAACACATACCCACAAAATCCTTAGGCAGATTTGTATATTTATAATTTATAAAAACGTATTTTCTTTGGACAGAAACCCTAATGAGGCAAAATGAACATATCTTCCAGTGTTTACGGTAAAAGACGCTGGAGAAGCCAAGCACAATAAATATTTTAGTTCCATAATCTGGCTATTAACAGTGAATGTGACTGCCTGCCAAATCTGTTTTAAAATGATAAAGATTGGAGAATATATAGGGATTTCTTTCATTATTTTCTTAAGCCATTTAGGTTAAAAAGGTAGCAAACTATTTGTTGGTATAAGCTGACAAATCTGGTACAAAATTTACCTTAGGTTAGTTATGTCAGTGGTTTTTTTTTAAAAAAAAACTTAAATACAACTCCCCCCAGGGACAAACAGCAGACTCATTTAAAAGAATTAGTCATAGATTTTTTTCCTAAATAATATAACTGATAGTAGCTTTGTGTGTGCTTAATAGACACTGAAGTGTTCCAGGAAGAACTTAACTGACTCTGTTTTTCAGTTAAAAAAGACAAATCAGTAAGGTTTGATGCCCAGTTATGGTCTAAGTAAAATAGATGGAAAAAATCCTACAAACGTTAGTGAAGGCTGTTGACGTGGAATAAAATTTTAAGTTTCTCGGATGTTAATCTGTAAATATAAATCTAGATAACATCAATTGGACTGCTGATATGTTGAAAGCTGAGCACGTACCAAAAAGCTGTTACTAGGTACACTTATTGGTGTCCGTTGCACAGGCGTGACCTACCATTAATTTAGGGGAAATAAATTTGCAACTTTTATGTTTATTGAGGCAGTTTTTTCAAGCTGTCTCTTAATGCTTTGAACTAAATGAAAAACCAATATCGTATTTTTAGCAAAGGTTTACATATACTCTGACCCATTTTTTGCTGTGGTCCTATTTCTTTAGATTAATAGGGTAATAATAATTTCTCCAGGAAGCAGTAAATAAAGAAGCGTCTCTGTGATTGTTTCCAAGGTTTTAATGGCCTGAACAGAGCTATTAACTTAGCTCCAGGGCAGTAGGTGCTGGATCTTTTTGCTGTTGTTGGGCAACCCTGAGGAAAGGCTTCTAGCAAGGCACTGCATTCAAACACGCTGAATGGCTGCAGGGCGTAGGTAGCATAAACAAGATATAGGGAGAGCCCTTAACCACTGAAAATAAGTGCATTTCTTGTTGGGTGCTCAGACAGGATATAGATTACACACTAAAAGCTGTACTGCTTGCCACTGGAGTCGGTATTTCTTGATCTTAAATGCTAATGTAAAAGGTGTTGGTTCTTGAAAGTAAATCCATTTTGTATTGCTCTCTAAGCTTAACCAAATTTCCTGATTTTTATCAGAGAATTGCCACAAAATCTTTTATCAGAAGAAGACAGAGGCTGACACATCATACATCCCTGCAGGCTCCCTTACAAGCTTCCCTCTGCAGGTCGGAGTGCCCCTGTGAGCTGGTGGAAAGATTATTCCTCTGTGATCATATGGAACTGCTAGATTGTGTCTTCCTGCTTTTTACTCTTTTTGATGGTCACCTTCTTGCTTTTCTTTTTATTTCGTTAGAATCTATCTTCCTTTCATTAAAACATCTTTTTTTTCGGTCTATTGTTATCTGTTCCCTTCACCTTCAAATTTATCCTTGATCCATGTGGTGCCTGAAGAAGAGTGTGCATGTGTGGTAGCCAGAACTAAATCCCTAGGGCTGGGCTGCTTCAGTGCTGGACAAAGCTCTACAGAAGCAAGGAGGAGAATGTCCTAGAAAAGGGGGCTTTTCAACCTAGTCCTTTGCTCATCCAGTATCTGCTTGCATTAAGTCACACTAAAGGGCAGAAAGGAAAGGTGAGTCTTTCGAAGAACCGCTGTGCGCTTTGCTTACAACACAGTGCGCAGGGGGTACAAATAAAGGCTGGCTGGGCCTTTCTGTTTCCCATCCAAAACAAGCTTTTTGCACTACCAGATTAAAGCATGCTGTTTTAAGCTCAGCATTGTGGTATTTATTCGAGTTCTTACCAACTTTGAGGCGACAATGACTGCCACTTGAAAGGGATGTGCTGTTTGGAGTTGGAGTTAATCTCTAATTGTTTCCATCCATACATGGTTTCATCCTCCAGTCTTAATGTATACCATCTTATTTGTGCAATTTGTCTCTCTTTCCGCTACAGTAATTTAAAAAAAAGAGTGCTCATGTTCAGCACTATCGAATCAGCCACCCAGGAGAAAGCAGGCAGCCCCTTTCTTGGTTCTTTGAGGAGATGTCGGAGCTCCACAGCTGGTAAAAGGCAGGCTGCCAATATAAGGAAATGAAAAGCAGTTCAGAATTTTTGTTAAAGCTTCCTGTGTTCCCTATAGCAGATTGCAACTTCACAATTCCTTTCCCATCCTGTTTCTTTACAAGCACTTTTGTCATGCATAAGACTTTCTGTCTGTAATTATTATAATATTAGCTGAAGATCACCTGATATTTGCCGAGAAACAGAAGTAGTAAACCTTGTTGGCTAAACACTTCTAATCGAGCATACCTGTTAAAAAATACCAAACTCTGAAGTATGAAGAATTCAGGAAGTTGTGTAGCAGACAGGTGTAACTCTCCTTCAGAGCATCTGCCTTACTGTGCCTTGCTGAGGCTGATGCTCTTGGCAGTAAAAGCATGAGTCCTTTTTTATCTTACCTTTCTAGCTTCTTGTCAGTTAAAAAATATAAGGATCGAAGTAATTGCTGATCAATGGTATGGCAAGCTTCTCAAAATATTGCCCGGACTTTCAGGCAGGAGCAGGGGCTCCTCATGCAAAGTTGCCTGTTTCAGCTAGTGTGTGTGTGTTGTCCTCCGGGAAGGTGAAGTGTCAGGAAGTGTCGTGTGTTTCCTCCTTGCATGTGGGTGTTGTGCTGGGAATCCTCGTGCAGAAACCCCCATTCCTGCAGGTGTTTTAGTGCTGGCCAACTGTGTGTTAGTGGCTTTGAAGAGGGGTTGCCCCAGCAGATTTTTCTTTCATTTTTCTTTGGCTTTTGTACAAATAAAAAGTACTTTTCACAGTTAAGACCATTATCTATTAGGAAGTTGTTATTATTATTATTATTTTAAGGAGCTGGGCTAATTATCAATTTATTCACTAAAAAAGAAAAAGACATTTTCAGCATGATTAGATGTTATGGTGATAAGAAGAAATATATCCGGGCTGTCTGCCCAGTCCTATAGCCTTATTCTATAGTTGTTTTCCAAAGGATGTGGTGTAAATGCCTTCAGCTCTTGCACCATTGCCACAAATTTCAACTGATTGAACTGTTATGGGCAGCTAACAAAGGAATATATTTGAATGAGACTCCAATTAAATAGTCCGATTTTGACATACTTACTTTCTTTAATAACCACTGCCAAGCATTTCTTGTTTCTGGGTCAGAAGGAAAGGAAAGCCACAGTCCAGAAAAGTGAAGCAGGCTGCTGCAGCAGCAGCAACCCGCTCGGCGGGTTATTTTGCAGATGGCTGTTTCAGAGAGGAGCCACAATTATTTATTGCATAAATATTTAGGTAGTCACTTGTGCTGAGAAACAAAAACTATTCTAGATAAAACATCGGGAAGGTTATCCTGCTGGAATATTGCACTGCCGGGGGTTTAGTTTATGTGTGTGTCACAGCAATTGTAAAACAGTAAAGAATTCCTGCCATTAAAACAGCTTATAATATTAATCCTAAAGCTCAGCCCTTCTGTTGGCACTTGGTTTCCTGATGCTTCCTGGGAATCACACTGTAATATAACTTCTGGGTTTCCCTGTGGAAGTTCTCAGTCTAGCTGTTGTCCATCTGCCTCTGCATCCCTGAATCCATAGCTTTCATGCACTGGAATTCTGACGGAATGGTGTCCTGGTGAGCGCCGTTGCATTCACTAGCTAGTATTAAAAGCAATGAATACTTCATAGATGCAAAAGTATGTTGTGATTTCTGTGTTTATTTCTAATTATTCCTTTTTAATTACAGAGCAAAGAAATTGCATTTCAGCTGCATGAGGACTTAATGAAAGTTCTTAACGAGCTTTACACAGTAAGTACAGTAACTTAGCTTCTCTCGTACAAATCCCATGTCAGACCTGTCCTATAAACTTTTAAGTATCCTTTTATCTAGCAAGTTACCGCCAGTGGAGATACCGATTTTTGTCTTTTTATGCAAGGCCAAGCTTGCATAAAGCTGGAAACACTATCTATTTGTTCAAAACATAAATCCTAATGCTTTCAGGATTGCTTGCTACCTTTCCACGGGTTTTCCCCCAGTCTGTGCTAAGCTAATTCATTAAAAGTTTCCTTACCAGAGCAAAGCTTATCCCTTTTGTGCCTTGTTTTTACCCATGCTGCCATCTGCTTGACTTGACTAGAGAAATATATGCAGCAAAAATCATAGGTTCTTGCAAGTCCAGTCCTGTAGTGCCAAACTGTTAGATATGTGTGCTCCCCACTCACTGACTAGAAGTAGTAAATACTGAGAAAAACGAAACAATGACTACAACAAGCAAATAAAGCAGAGGACCGGGGAGGCCTTCTGAGTGCAGAGAGATCAAGCAAAAGTAATGGGAGCATCCTGGCAAGCTGCTGGAAGCTTGCAGGAAATTCTAGTGGTAGAATAGGTCAGAGCTTTTCTTTGCCTCTTGGTAACTTTACACAGTGTGTTAAAACAGTGATGAATCTTACCTACCTAAAATCTTTGTTCGTTTGTTTGTTTGTTTGAGAGGCTCAAACAGCTTATTCTGAGAAGGTACAAAGCAGGTAGCTATAGAATGAGGAGGAACTGGTGACATTTGCTTCCTATGAAAGTGTTGACTAAATTGCTGGTTACATTGCTGATTAAATTGTCTTTCCCCTCTTGAAGATTCCAGGCATCCCACTTTCCAGTACCCTATCCAACAATCTCTAGACTGCTTCTTTCCATAACCGCTTTTGGAGGAACAGAAAAAAAATGTATATATTTATATGAAAAATAAAAAGTTATTTGATTTTTGAAGAAGAAATTTTGGACGATTACCAGAGACTAGCTCTCTTAGCCTGGTCAAATATTATCTTTGTGCATCTTGTCTGTTTTTCCTTTTGACCTCGGGAAGATAGGCACTGTCAGTAGATGGGTTGGAGAGCATTTAAACTTGAGAACCACTTAGGTGAAAAAACTTCCAGAGGTGTAAAGCACTTTTGACCTGTCTGCCTGCCCTGTGTAGGCGTGGATGCAGATTCCCAAAACATACTTAAAGAAGTTCTGCGGAGCTCGTCTTTGGGGATTTTTTTTCCAGCCTAGCTGGTGTTCTAGAGTGTGGCACTGCAAAACCCGGTGGGCTGAGGCTGCAGTCAGTGGAACCTCAGGGATATCTCAGGGGTATCAGGTGGGATCAGCTTCTGCAAAGCAGGGACGGCCTCAGACGACTCACACGAACGCAGTGGGTCTGAGCCCGCAGGAGCCATTGCACAAATGGGGCTGCAGTGCTGAGCAAGCCCTCAGGATACAGTCTTGTTCCAATTAAATAGTTACATAACCCCCATGCCTGGCAAGGCACAGAATTAGTTTCTGTGCTCCCAGGATAGGAAAATGTTAAAGCATGTGTTGAAATACTTTGCTGAATCACCCATGAAACTTTTCAGGCCTGGGCTTTAGTATTTTTCCCTTTTTTCCCCCTTTTTTACATTAGTGTTATCTCTTTCCACTGGTGGCTCAAGAAGCTTACTGAGATTTTAACTTCCATGTTAGGGCTTCCAGTGAACTCCTTTCTCAGCATTTAAGCTTTGAGGATTTTTGTAAAATGAGAAGATTATTGGAGTTTATGAAGTACAGCAAGTACAGATTGAGTTTAGTTACTGATGTGGAAGATTTCCCAACATGATATGCTAAAAATGGAATTCATTTCACCTAATTTTTAGGCATCTGCAGTGCCTAAAACAGCTTGCAGTCTGAATTCTAGTTATAATCCCTGGAGGTCTGATGTGTGGAGATGAGAAGTCTTCACCTGACCAGATGTAAGCAACCACCCGCACCATAAACTCTGCTGTCCGGCTCTTCCCTGATTGCCAGGGACTTGGTCAGCTGGGAAGGGCCACGTTTGGCTAACGGGGGCCGCGCTCTAAATAAAGTGTCAGAGGGATACAAAAATGCGTTTCTTCCGCTGCTGGCATCTTTAGAATGATCATCAGCATTTCTATGTAATATAAATGTGTGTTTACATAAGAAGATGTCTGGACAGATGGGTAAGTCACATGCCTAGGCTTTTAGTTCTGTGTAATATTTAATGTTTACGGGGAAGACCGCAGTTGCTAAAAGTAGATATGGTTCTTGATTTTAATCATTTACAAAGAAGGAGAAATAATCTTTCTGTTTGCCCCATGACTTGTGGTAAAAAAGCAAAAAAACAGTAACATTGATTTCCATTTTACTATTGTAAAGTAAGTTGTGGTGTCCAAAAGAAATTTACCTTCTTTTTGAAAAGAGTTTCAAATCAATGAATGATATACTCATTTTGAGAAGCCTCTCTCTATTGCTCCATTCTGTGTTTTTTTAAATCAATGGTACTATCATGTAGCATAGCTCTCAAAATGTGAAACCTCACTGGAGTTTAGGTACATTTGAAGCCTGTAAATGAGAAGAAAGGTTTTTGATGAACTGAGTGTATGGATGAAGAGTTTAATAATCTGTTTACTTCTTATGGCAGCATTGCTTATCTTACAAGAAAGGTCAATAAGATTGAGATGAATTGAGGTAAAATTGAATTCTTCCAGAATTCAAACAAACAAACAAACAGTTGTGTTTACAAGTAGATTGAAGAGAATGAAAGAACTGAATCATTTCAAGCAAGAAGCAAAAATAATGAGAACCTACCTTTTGGAGTAAACGTAAAGAAACTGCAGATTTTATTTGCTAGATCAGATGTCTTTGGCTTCTGTCATCTAAGATGCCAGAAACAAATTATTTTGAAATTCATCGCTGAAAATTAGTTTTGCACTTCTGCCTCAGAAAATCGCTTTTAGCCTACTTATAGGGAGGTATGTTCATTAGTTTTGAAAGTTTTTACATCAAACTGTTCAGGTCTATAGATAGTGCCATAGATTTTGCAAAGATGAACCTGTTCCAGAAGAACAACAAGAGAAAACACTGAAGAGACTTTCCACCTTCCATTGGAAGTGCATTACTAAGGTTTGCAATTAAAAAAACCTCTTTCTGCTCAAGGGTATTATTAAGCTTATGAAAGTTTGAACTTCAGTCTTCTGAGAGAGAGCAAATACAAAATGATTTGGCTCCTTGTTCGGTGTGGGAAAGCTCAAAACTGCAATGAAATATCAAAAAAAAAAGAAGAAAAGAGACACGCTCTGGACTATTAAATTCCTACAGTTCTTTAAAAATGTTGTCTGCTTAGACCTTTCTACTTACTTATACTTTTCGTAATTTCTTCCTTTTCCTATTTCATTACTAGAAAGTATTATGAAAACAGGAGATTTGTACCAGAGGTTTTCATTTATTCCCTACGAAATACCTTGGCTTGTGTTGATTTTGGCTTGGGCCATCCTAATTAAAATTATGCATCATAAACAGAATTGCTGTAAAAATAAAAGCAGAAGCAGATGAATCAAGACTCCCAAAGATTTTCCAAGAACTCTTGAGTCAAAAAGCCTTATTTTGCTGGAATGATCTGTTCAGAATTCTGTAAGGGAAACCTGAATTTTTCATTTTTTATCCTTTTTCATAGAGGAGGTTTTTCACGCATTGTGTTAAATATTCTTATATCTTTTCTACATGTTAGTTGGGTGATTAGTGAAATTCATACTTAAGATTTTAAGACTTTATTTATTTAAGATTTTATTTTCGGTTCTCAGTATTTTAGGCACCAGTACTTACATTATGATTCAAAAGATCATTCTAAAAATAATTAAATAGCTAAGCTTCAGTCTGTATCTTTGCAAGTTCAGCAAATTATAAGTGGCAAGTACTTTTAATTATGCATGGCTTCTCCATGGCCATGCCAGCCAATCACTATTTTCAAGTTTGCAGCATCCCAGCTGCTGCATTCATCTCTTGCTCCTCTCCCCAGTACTCTTTCAGTCTGTGTAGACTAGTAATTAATCCCATGTTTTACAGAAGGATATAAACTGTTGGAACTAGAGCTCGGCACAGGTTTGGAGCGAGCAGAGATGGGAGGAGGGAAGCCTGATTATTTGTGAGGGGTCTCAGAGAAGAGGTTATTTCCTGGCAATTCAAAAAATATCTATATATACACACATACATACATATAAATATACACACACATACACTAATCAATCCAAAAATGCCTGGAGGGTTGAGTGGATATTTTTTGTGAGCTGATTTAGAAAGCTCATTGCATGTTAGATGTAATAGGTATCAAAATGGAGCATTTCAAAGTGTTTCTGAATTAGAAGACTCAGATAGATGGGTATTTTAAAAAAGGGGGTGGGAGGAGGATTTTTTTTAGACAGAAAAATCTGAGTATTTTAAAACAAAACATTACTTTTTCTCCAAGAGACTTAAGATGACTTTCTTAGATTAACTTTACTAATTCTGCAGATTTTGGCTAAAAAGTCACTTTTTTCACCAGTTGTTTTCCCAACTCCATTTAAAGTAAAAGGACTGGGGGAGGATGTGTGAATAGACTCTCCTCCTAAGATGCCCTTGCTGGAATGTGGCTGTCAACTAACTTCACCTGTGCTTTCTGGACAAACAAAATTTGCAAGTGTTGGAGGGGAAACTGGCAAGTACTTGTAAAAGAGATCTCTGAGGAATTTCCTCAGGTATCCAACAGCTACTCCTCCTGTTTTGCTTTGTTTTGAGGGAGAGCTGACTCTCACCGGTTCCTCCTTCAGGAGAGGGACTCAGGAAAAACAGGGAGTAATCAAAGGATTAGGACGGGGACAAGAAGTGAAGAGTGCCAAGCAGGGAAGGTGACAGTATAAAGGTTAAAAACACGATGGTTTTTAGCCATCGTGGTGAGGTTGGTGTCATGAGCACTGGGCAGAGCCACCCCAGGAGTAGCCACCACTTCATAGCAGCTTGCGGTGACAGGC